GGCTAATCAATCACCATGTGCACTTGCAACACGTCTCGAAAAGAGCCTATATAAATATTAATATTAAAATATATATATATTTAGTCCAAAAACATCAAACGACAGACAGGCGACATTGACGAGTGTCTCTTGATAGATATTAGAGGAAAAAATAGAAAGAACTCTAGGATCAACTTCATCATTTATAAAGACCATTTTGATGACGGGAAATTCTGCTTCATCAACCTCAATTAATTCTGCAACAAAGTGATTAAAATACTGTAATGATGAAAATCCATCTTCAATCCATCACAGTCCATCCATCAGGGTGGATGAGCTGTGTTTATTATTGGATTGCCAAAACGTTTTCGACACCATTCCCTCACGGAAGGTTTGCCTATTCAATTAACAAAAAATTAGGAAACCAAAAAAAAGTATATTACAAAGAATAAGACATAGTGACAAGGCGGTACAGATTATTAACGAGAAAAGGCGCATGAAATACGAGGTCGGTAACAAGCGGAGTCCCGCAGGGTCCAGTTTTGGGATCGCTTCTGTTGATCGATATTATTGTTTAATCCGAAGAAGGAGATTCAATTAAACACAAACCGCTGTTATCGTTTTTGCGCTACCGCTCACAGGATGAATAAGCCAATGATCTCAGGGGAGCTGCCACACCTAACTGGTCTCCGGAAGACATAAACCCGACCACATCAACATCATATGCAAAATTTGTTAATTTAGGAATAGCGTTTAAAAATAGTCAAAACAAGGAGAAATTCAGGATATTATTTATATTCAACATGTGACCATGTCATATTTACTCACAACTGAATTTCACAACTCACAACTGAATGCCACAACTCACAACTGAATTTCACGACTCACAACTGAATTTCACGACTCACAACTGAATTTCACGACTCACAACTGAATTTCACAACTCACAACTGAATGCCACAACTCACAACCTACTACGTGATTCAATAGCTTTACGAGGAACCCATCAATGTCCTCTGACCACAGAGGAAAATTAGACAGGAAATGCCTTAAGTACTTTCGTATTAATCAATACATCTTCAGAATTGTTCTGAAAATATATTAATACGAAGGTGCTTTAGGAATTTCCTGTATCATTTAGCTTCGTGGTCAGCCATCATCATGTTATTCATCAAGTGGTAATTTCTTCGTGATTTACACTCATATTCATTATGTAAAGACAGACTTTGAGCATGAGTTAATGTCACAACTCACAACTGATTGTCACAACTCACAACTGAATGTCACAACTCACAACTGAATGTCACAACTCACAACTGAATGTCACAACTCTCAACTGAATGTCACAACTCACAACTGAATGTCACAACTCACAACTGAATGCCACAACTCACAACTGAATGTCACAACTCACAACTGAATGTCACAACTCACAACTGAATGTCACAACTCACAACTGAATGCCACAACTCACAACCCACTACGTGATTCAATAGCATTACAAGAAGCCCATCAACGTCCAGAATTATGCCAGCAGTAAGAGACCCGAGTTATCAAGATAACTAAACCACATTAAAATAGAGAAAGACCCGAGATATGTTGTTGTTGTTGTTAAAGATTCGCTACCTGGAACAAAGTTCCAAGTAGCACGGGCTATGGTGAGCCCGTAGTGTGGGAGATATGCTCGCTAGCGGAAAGCACAAACAAACCAGGTGCCTTGATGAACCACAGAGACGCTGGAAAAAACAAAGTTATTCAGTGCAAGAGTTGCAGAAAATGAATGAGTTTGGGAGACAGTTGAGGCAGACGCCATGTACTGATATGATAAAGTTCAATCATGCATATGCAAGTGTATCATGCAAGTGTATCATGTAAGTGTATCATGCAAGTGTGCAGCTTTCAATATATCAGCTATATTGGCTTAGGGGCTTACATGGACCTTCCTCTCTCCTCGTAACTACTCGAGTGCTAGAACTCGAGTGCTAGAACTCGAGTGCTAGAACTCGAGGGCTAGAAGGGCTAGAACTCGAGTGCTAGACCTCGAGTGCTAGACCTCGAGTGCTAGAACTCGAGTGCTAGAACTCGAGTGCTAGAACTCGAGTGCTAGAACTCGAGGGCTAGAACTCGAGGCTCTGGCTGGTGGTAGAATAGTTTACCTGGTGCTACGTGTGTTGTGAGCTGGATAACAGACATTATATTGTAAATATATATATATAATGTTTGTCTTCCTTCTATTTGTTGGCTGAATCATCCTTCCTTCCTCTCCTTTATTCCCCTCTCCTCCTGTTCCCCTCCCCCTATTCCACTTCCCTCTCTCCCTCCCTCCCCCCCCCCTCCTACACTTCCCTCCTACTCCCTACCCCTTCTCCACTTCCCTCTCTCCCTCCCTCCCTCCCCCCCCCCTCCTACACTTCCCTCCTACTCCCTACCCCTTCTCCACTTCCCTCCCTCCCTCCCTCCCCCCCCCTCCTACACTTCCCTCCTACTCCCTACCCCTTCTCCACTTCCCTCCCTCCCCAACTCAGGAGGCTCACAGCCTCTGTTTACAAGTATTAAAGCTGGACTCGCAGGCAAGGTGTCCGAGCGGTGACAGGGCAGGTGTGGAGGCCGGTGTGGAGGCCGGTGTGGCGGCAGGTGTGGAGGCAGGTGTGGCGGCAGGTGTGGCGGCAGGTATCCATGTCAGCAGCCTCCTCCTAGCCGGGTCCGTCACATCATCCCGGTAGCGCCGTCTTGTGTCCTGTCCAGTGAGAGGAAGGTCCGATCCCCCCCTCCCCCCTCCCGTCCCCGTCCCCCCCCCCCACTTCTTATTGCACACAAACTCACAAAGGTTAGACATTCAGGTAGGAGTTTTTCACCGGGGTTCGTCCCTCGATGGGGCCGTTTCAAGGCTAGCCACTTTCTCGCCCCTCGGTAGGAACTCTCTCAGGGAGAGGGGGCAGGAATAGGCGCCAGGAGACCCACGTGGGTTACTTATCAGGCGTCACAGAAAGCTAATGAGAGTATGTGTTATGTATGCAGGGTGTCGGTGTGTGGGGGGGGGCGGTGAGGAGGAGGAGGGGGGCGCGTTGGGGGTGTGGGGGGAGGGATAGGTGACGTGTGGAAGGGATGATGTGGTGGGCAGCGGGCGGCCATGTCCCTCTCTCACCTCTTCTCTCCTCCCCCCCCCCCTATCCCTTCCCCACCTAACCTACCTGAGACCTCCAGGTGGGCACCCCAATCACCCCCAATCGTCCCCTCCCACTCCCCCCCCCCTCTTCATCTGTCCACAACCAGCTCCGTATCACCCCCCCCCCTCCCGGTACCTGTCCGTGTAGCCCTCTACCTCAACCCTTCACAGTTATGCTCTGTCTGACCTCACCCCCCCCCCACGACCTCACCCCCCCACGACCTCACCCCCCCCTGCGCCACGGGTGGCCATGCTCTACATGCTCCCCCCCCTGCTGAGATCCTCACCCATGCTCCTTATGGGTGACCATCAAGATGACACCTGCCATTATTTATTAGCATCAACAGCCACGTGTGTTGCAGGGGTTCCGTCAGCCGTCAGCTGAGCTGGTCGAGGATTGCGTTCCGTTCCACCTGTACGTAGCTACTTGGGTTTATCATATCTGTAGCTTGCGTATCATTTATTTTTTTCATATTCATATCTTGTAGCCTCCTTCTGTCAGCCTTAACGCCCTTGGTGTAGAGGCACGACCGTCACGCTCCTGGTGTAGAGGCAGGGCCGTCACGCCCTTGGTGTAGAGAGGCAGGGCCGTCACGCCCTTGGTGTAGAGGCAGGGCCGTCACGCCCTTGGTGTAGAGGCAGGACCGTCACGCCCTTGGTGTAGAGGGCAGGGCCGTCACGCCCCTTGGTGTAGAGGGCAGGGCCGTCACGCCCCTTGGTGTAGAGGCAGGGCCGTCACGCCCTTGGTGTAGAGGCAGGGCCGTCACGCCCTTGGTGTAGAGGCAGGACCGTCACGCCCCTTGGTGTAGAGGCAGGACCGTCACGCCCCTTGGTGTAGAGGCAGGACCGTCACGCCCCTGGTGTAGAGGCACGACTGTCACGCCCCTGGTGTAGAGGCAGGACCGTCACGCCCCTGGTGTAGAGGCACGACCGTCACGCCCCTGGTGTAGAGGCAGGACCGTCACGCTCCTTGGTGTAGAGGCAGGACCGTCACGCCCTTGACGCCACACAACCGGCGCCGTTCTGCGTCCCACCCACACGTTCCTCCATCACCCCCTAACCTGCAGTGTTGATCCGTTCTCTCCCACAGCCTGGCCGGCCCCCCACGCGCCCACAACAAACACCCATGTTAGCATTACGAGTTATTGTTGCCGTGGGGGAAGAGGAGAGGGGGGAGGTGTACGCCGTCTTGGTGTGACAACGTGTTTACGGATGTTGGTTTCACTGGTGTACGAAACCCCCACCCCCCCACCCACCCCCTCCGTTATTCGTACAGGTATACTGTGTCGCACCGTAGTACAGCGTGACGTCACGGCTGTATCAGGAACTGGTAGTGACTGTTCCGGCCAGAGGGCGTTCTGATATCCGGCTGTGGTGATATTTTTTTTTTTAGGTGGGAAAAACTCTTTTTAAAGGGGGGTGGGGGGAGGGGGGATAGTGAGGGGGGGGAGATGGATGGTGGTAACGCCGCAGGTAACTTCCTGCGGCGTGACGTCACTGCGGGCACGTGTTCTGGGGCCAACACCTGAGTGTGGCCACCTGTGAGGCTCCGCCATAGACTCTCATCTCGTCGACGACACTCTCTCAGCGGGCCTGAGGACCGGTCCTACACTCCACGACACTTGAGGGTGTAGTGTGCGTGTGAGTGTGTCTCGAGAGGGATAAACCCCAGAGGTGCACACTTCCCCCCACATGGTAAAACATTTGCTGCAAATTCTGACGTATACTGAGCCAGCCAGGTGTTGCCATCTCGCCAGCTTCCACAGATTTGTCTGTTTTTTTTTTTTTGCCATGTTGCATCAGGTGTTGCACTCGGTGATGTTCACTCGGGCGTCACCGGTACTCGTTTCATTCAGTTCGAGTAAAAGACACGCGATAAGTTGCGTAGAGTGATTTAAACGAGATGGACAAAATGTTAGTGTGTTGCAGAACTGCCACCTTACCCCTTCTGCCAAGGTTGTGAGAGAGTCGGTCGCCACACACGCTCTCACACACACACACTCACACACGGATCGAGGCAGCTGAGGCAGGGAGACTCCAGCATTTCCTCATCCCTCCTTGAGCGAGCTGGTCGCCAGGGACTTCTTACCTGTGAGCCGACTGACCACTCCACCGAGTGATCCCACCAGGGACGCACGTGTCCTCCTCCTCCTCTCCCTCTTGTACACAAAAAGAGAGAGAGAGAAAAGAAAATCGTCACAGTGATCTATCTTACGTTTGCGACCAATAGTGGGATCCAGTCTGTACTAGTGTGTGGTGGAGATAGTAGCAGGAGCTGGTGCCGCTCCCCCATACACCTAGCGTGGTGGGGCTGTGAACGTTGGACACAAGACCTGACTGACCTGGCAGTTCCCCGCAGCTAAAGTGTGTGTGTCCTGGTGATCCTCGCAGCAAAATTCTGGTAAGTGATTCCTTCTTCACAGTGACAATTTGCCAACGTTTTGATATGCATCCTCCTGTGACAATGCGCGCTGTTCCTTCATCTTTTACATGAATGGCAATGGAAATGAAAATATTTGCCTCAATCATTTGGTTTTCATTCAGCCATTAGACTGGAACATCCACACACAGTACACAGTCGTATGTCAAGTGAGACTGTGTCCTGAACAAATTTACCAGTTACTGGACACTACGTGTGTCATGTTTTATACATTACCGCATATAATTCGTGTGGGGCCGTTCTCAAACTGACAAAACGTAGTTACATTTTAATACCAACGAACAATGTGTACTTTCACTTCTTCAGCAACAGCAAACAAACTTGAGTTACAGGTGAATACAGGTGATACAGGTGAATTAAACGAATACCACCATATTTAACCTGCCGACTCATATTTTAATTAATACAGAAAAAGCTAAAATCTATTTTTTTTTTGTCATTTAGCAAAAAAATAAACTTGTAGCTATTGTGTAAATAAGGGGAATTTAGAAATGTAGAGTCCAAGCGTTCATCTTTTGGCAATGGGTCGAAAAGATTGATATATTGATATATGCGTAATGTCATTGACACCCAGAAAGGATTAAGGATTTTTCTTGCATGATATATTAATACCAGTCATGAATATTACTGAGAGTGGAAAGGTGAGTCAAGCAGCGAACTCATGACAGTTCCCCGTACTCGGTGCCTAATAGAGACATACCAATGGAGGTTTCATTTCCAATATGTAGGTTTGATATGTAGAGGAAGAAGGATTCACAAATTTAATGCAAACAAATTTACGGTGTAGGTTCCTTAGACGAAAAAAAACTTCGATAAACGGACCCAAAACTGCTCGTGTGCAAAAGGATGGATGGGGGGAGGGGAGGGGAGGGGGGAGGGGGTAAGGGACAGCTCTGAGTACCAATAAGAGAAGCCACCGGACCGCTTATACAGTGTGTACCCTGGGTTGGTGATGTGTATAATGGCTTGAAGACGCTGGCATGTTGCTCTTACCATACACCCCTACCAGCCCTCACCACACACCCCCTACCAGCCCTCACCACACACCCCCTACCAGCCCTCACCACACACCCCCTACCAGCCCTCACTACACACCCCTACCAGCCCTCATCACACACCCCTACCAGCCCTCACCACACACCCCCTACCAGCCCTCACCACACACCCCCTACCAGCCCTCACCACACACCCCTACCAGCCCTCACCATACACCCCTACCAGCCCTCACCATACACCCCTACCAGCCCTCACCACACACCCCTACCAGCCCTGTCCCTGCACTATAAATCACTGGTACAGTCTCTCGTCACTGTGCTGAAGAACGATTTTTACAATAACGTGAAATCATTGTTTTGCTGACTAATGTAATAATCAGGTGCACACGATCAGGGTCAATGTTAAAGCAACACGTATCGTACAATCCGGCCCTTTATTACCAGAATCCAACATGATCACTGGATAACCGATCCGTCAGCATTTTCCTGGTGCTGCTTTAACTGGCGGATATATATATATAACTGGCGGATATATATATATATCTGGCGGATATTTAACTGACTTGACCATCTCGGGCTGGTATTCGCGACGCGTACTGCTGCAGGATAGACTTGTTCTGATGCTATTCCTAGAGGGATGAGTGGTCTACCTCAGGATATGAATCATGCAGTCAAGCCCGTCTATTCGCAGGGAAAGCTCGTGCTGACGTCAAATTTTAAGTTTTAGTTCGATTGTTGCTAACTCCTGACGCCAGAATAATCCGTTTTGTGTTTTGTGTCCTGTCGCTCTGCTCTCAGTGTCCCAGAGCGCCATTATTGATACCTTGAATTCCCATTGGGCCAGAAAACATTAATAGGGATATCGAAGCAGTAAAAAGCACGCCAAAATAGTATATTACTACGGAACAAATTCACAAGGGCCGTGACGAGGATTCAAACCTACGTCCGAGAGCATTCCAGACGCTGCCTTAATTTGATGCCAAAAAAACTGCCATCCCAGTTACTACGGAACACCGGGGTAAAAAAGAGCTACACCTCTTCATTCTGTGTATGGTGCTTCTTTGCAACCGATTATTTTCTCAAAGTACATTATTTATGAACAATATTGACTTTTTTCCCCCTTAATATTCAAAGATCAGCGATCTTAGAAGCCGACGCTACGATCTCCTAAACCTTTACTTTAGTTTATCCTAGAGATTAATACCGAGTAATGAGATTCAAGTTTGACAGAATCAATTCCTGTGGTGTTTACTCTGCCAGACGACACACTACACTACACTTTGTTCACTCTGCCAGAGTTTCAGCGCTAATATATACACAAGTTAGAATACAGGCTCGCGATATGCATCACAGACCGGAGACTCATCCTCCGGTATCGCACGACCTCTGAATATCCTCCGGTATCGCACTACCTCCTCCGGTATCGCACTACCTCTGAATATCCTCCGGTATCGCACGACCTCTGATATATCCTGAATATCCTGTATCGCATGACCTCTGAATATCCTTCGGTATCGCACTATCTCTGAATATCCTCCGGTATCGCACGACCTCTGAATATCCTTCGGTATCGCACGACCTCTGAATATCCTCCGGTATCGCACGACCTCTGAATATCCTCCGGTATCGCACGACCTCTGAATATCCTCCGGTATCGCACGACCTCTGAATATCCTCCGGTATCGCACGACCTCTGAATATCCCCCGGTATCGCACGACCTCTGAATATCCCCCGGTATCGCACGACCTCTGAATATCCCCCGGTATCGCACGACCTCTGAATATCCCCCAGTATCGCACGACCCCTGAATATCAGAACCACCTGCATTATCTGTCCATATTATACCAATTCTCATCGCTAGTCGACTGCCCTCTGATCCCCTGCTTGTGTCCGCTGGTGTTACAACTCTCCTCGACCCATAATTATCTTTCCCAAATTTGCTTTGGCATGTGACAGAATGCTTGCTTGTGACATGGTACTGTTTGAAAGACAACTCTTTCATCCCCTTAGCGCTCGTGACACAGCCCGCAGGCAACGCCACAGTAAAACATTCATGGTTTTAAACAATACCAGCGGCAAATCTTTGAAAAAAAACCCACGCTGTCGTCACACACGGTGGACATCAAAGGATGGGACATAAAACGAGGCAGCAGGAAGGGAAAAAAACAGCGTCTTAATGCGTCAAGAGGGAGGCATTCCTCTAGATATCTCTCAGGAGGAAGGTAGTTACTATGAAATAACATCATTCATTGTAAAATATTGTTGGTCGTTTGCTATCATATCACTCTTCTGGAATGGTAATGCTTATTGGTGGAGGCAGCAAGCAAGGTGCCTCAGGTGGAGGCAGCAAGCAAGCAAGGTGCCTCAGGTGGAGGCAGCAAGCAAGCAAGGTGCCTCAGGTGAAGGCAGCAAGCAAGGTGCCTCAGGTGGAGGCAGCAAGCAAGGTGCCTCAGGTGGAGGCAGCAAGCAAGCAAGGTGCCTCAGGTGGAGGCAGCAAGCAAGCAAGGTGCCTCAGGTGGAGGCAGCAAGCAAGCAAGGTGCCTCAGGTGGAGGCAGCAAGCAAGCAAGGTGCCTCAGGTGGAGGCAGCAAGCAAGCAAGGTGCCTCAGGTGAAGGCAGCAAACAAGCAAGGTGCCTCAGGTGGAAGCAGCAAGCAAGCAAGGTGCCTCAGGTGGAGGCAGTAAGCAAGCAAGGTGCCTCAGGTGGAGGCAGCAAGCAAGCAAGGTGCCTCAGGTGGAGGCAGCAAGCAAGCAAGGTGCCTCAGGTGGAGGCAGCAAGCAAGCAAGCAAGGTGCCTCAGGTGGAGGCAGCAAGCAAGGTGTTCCACTGGGCCTGAGCCCAGTTTACAACACACACAAAAGCCACAAGAACAACAGACAAGCACTTTACAGAACAGATCGAATCTTAGCATCAATACAAAGGCCATTGTCTAGGGTGGGACAGTGGTATAAAGAATCCCTGAACACGTCCCAGGAGGGCGGCGTAATTGTGTCCCATTACCTTTTTCTGATTTATTGAGTGATGGGACTCGGGGTCGTGGCGACAGTGACGGGACTCGGGGTCGTGGCGACAGTGATGGGACTCGGGGTCGTGGCGACAGGGAGAAAATCAACTAGTGAATTCAGCCATATTCACTAATACACAGAACAGTGGGAGCCGGTCGGCCGAGCGGACAGCACGCTGGACTTGTGATCCTGTGGTCCTGGGTTCGATCAGGCAAGAAACATTGGGCAGAGTTTCATTCACCCTATGCCCCTGTTACCTAGCAGTAAAATAGGTACCTGAGGTGTTAGTCAGCTGTCACGGGCTGCATCCTGGGGGTGGAGGCCTGGTCGAGGACCGGGCCGCGGGGACACTAAAAAAAGCCCCGAAATCATCTCAAGATAACCTCAAGATAGGAAGGTGACGATACTGCTCGATATAAACTAAAATCCTTCTGTATTTACTTTCTATTATCACTTTCATTTCTCCTTTTTTCCCCGTTCTTCCTTCCTTCTTTAATATGGACAAGCAATTGTAAATGTAATAGTTAGGATGTGTTCCAATATACCAGATTCAGTTAAATAGTTACACAGTTCGCCCCAGTAAGGCGTTCAAAAAATCGTGGGACCGACTCACGTTCAATCATACAATATTCAAGTGGAAGGTTTCAACATTTTTTCACAAAGTTTACAAGTTGGATACTGGAGTAGAGGCCGAGCCTCGCTATAACTTGCCAGATAGGCCTATCGCCAAGAGCAAATAATCGCCCACCAGTCCACGTCACATTGTCTGGTCTGCTTACTACTCTACCACACGAAACCTGACAATCCAAATACATATTATTACGAACCATCTCATAGTTTTTAATAGTGCAATTTTCCTGTCTGGGCATTTCTTGTTCTGGTAAATCTGAAGTAATCTCTTTAATTGGTATGTTTTAACAACTGTAGCGGATAGAGCAAAGTCACATTGTTTGTTTTGTTTC